GTCCTGCACATTGGCTTGGGTGAATTTTAGCCCATTCCTCCTTACAGAACAGCTTCAATTCAGGAATGTTGGTGGGCTTCCTTGTATGAACTGCCCACTTCAGGTCCTTCCACAACATTTCTATAGGATTAAGATTAGGAGTTTGACTTGGCCATTCCAAAACATTAACTTTCTTCTGCTTTAATCATTCTTTGGTTGTACAACTTGTGTGTTTTGGGTTGTTGTCTTGCTGCATGACCCACTTTCTCTTGAGCTTCAGTTCACGGACAGATATCCTGACATTTTCCTGTAGAATTTGCTGATACAACTCAGAATTCATAGTTCCATCAATTATGGCAAGCCGTCCTGGTCCAGAAGCAGCAAAGCAGGCCCAAACATGATACTGCCGCCACCATGTTTCACAGATGGGATAAGGTTTTTATGCTGAAATGCAATGTTTGTCTTTCACCAAACATAACGGTTTTCATTCAGGCCAAAAAGTTCTATTTTGGTCTCATCCATCCACAGAACATTCTTCCAGTAGTCTTCCAGCTTATCCACAAGATCTTTCAGAAACTGTAGATGGGCAACAATCTTTTTTTTGGAGAGTAGTGGCTTTCTCCTTGCAACCCTGCTATGCACACCATTGTTTTCAGTGTTCTCCTGATGGTAGTCTCATGAACACTGACATTCACCAATGCAAAAGAGGCCTTTAGTTCCTGATAGTGAATACTCAGAATTCTGTTCTTTAAATAAGGCAGGACCTCCCACACTCACACCTGATTATCATCCCACTGATTGAAACACCTTACTCTACTTTCCCCTTCAAATGAACTGATAATCCTAGAGGTTCACATACTTTTGCCATACACAATTAGGTAGCTTTGGCTCATTTTCCTGAATAAATAAATGAACAAGTATAATGTTTTTTATTCATTTGTTTAAGTGGGTTGCCTTTATCTAGTTTTAGGATATATGTGAAGAACGGATCACATTTTAGGTCATATTTATGCAGAAATATTGAAAATTCAAAAGGGTTCACAAATGTTTAAGCACTACTGTAAATAGATCTTTTCCAATCCCTTGGCTACAGTTGTGTTTTCCATATCTACTTATAAACCATATATAGGACTCTAAACGCATCATTCTTACAAGGTTTTAAATAGTTCTGCTGCATCTCTTCAATTTCTACAGCTTTGGTATTAGTAATATCTTCCTTAGCACCTATTAACTTCACTTTCCAGAATGTTTTGCTCCAGTTCAGTGATCTAACCTACAAATGTATCATTTATTTTGGTTTTTTTAACAGTTCTTATGTAAATTTACACCATCACTTCTTTGTATCTTATTTCAGCAGATCTTTGCTTTGACTTTTAACATGTCCACCTTTGCATAAAAATTTCCCTTGATTTCTGTAGTTTTCTTAAATAAAGTTCCTGTCCTTCCCATTTTATTGTTATCTTTAATTTCTTTGCATTGTTGATTTAGATATAAATCTGTGTCTATTTTTACTCTTCTCTGGCACTCAGCATTTAGTTGGATAAATCCTCCTGGCTGTGTTTCTGTTGCCCTTTATTTTCCACTTATCTTCAGCTATTTTCAATTTGTCAGCAGATAGCCATTTTTACATTCAGGATATTTTTGTTAACTTCATTAATTATAACATTAGTTTCAATGTAGAATTATTTAGCCATTCTCAGATCAATTCTAAACCATCAAATCTATTTATTTCACTGCATAAACATATGAAATGTTGAAATCATAACTTGTTGGACTGATTATCGCTATAGTTTCTCCATTTTTGCTTGTAAAGTTTAATCAGTATGATTTCAGAGTTATCCATTTGGTGAAGTCCATATGCACTGTAAAGTTGTGCGCTATGTTTTAATAAACATTCAGTTGTCTTGGCAGAACTCTATTGTCTTGGTTCATCTTCTACACCGAGGACAAATCTTCCTGTCATTCCAGGTGCTATTTTACTTCCAACTTTAACATTCTATTTTCCTATAATTAGCATGGCATCTTTGAGGAGGCATGTGTTGCATTGACAAGGTGTTGCAGAGCACCACAGAACTGTTCAACTTCTGCTTCCTCTGCAGCTGCAGTTAGGCTATTTGATGTTTACAAGCTATTGTTTTTGAGGTAGAAGGATGATGCAAAGTGAGCAGGGCCATGAAGAAGTTTTTTAAAAAGTTACATTAAACTTACTTTAGCTTTGAGTGTTTTCCCTCTCCACATAGCAGGAAATACCACATATTTTCACTAAATGCAGTCAGAAGTGATTCTATGGACTGCAAAAAGGGATCTGGGGCTTCAAGTTATCTACAACTATATAGGCATATTTCTTCCAGACTTACCTTAGATCAGCCTTTCTCAACCTTTTGACCCTGGAGGAACCCTCGAAATATTTTTCAGGCCTCAGGGAACCCCTGCATATACAGGCTCAAATATAGGCCAGAAGTTACAAAATTATTATATTCGTTTCATGTGTACACCAGAATATATGCATTAACAGTGTTCTTAAACTAAAAATACAGCCTGAAACTTACCTCTTTAATGTGAAACCTGTGCTTGTTTTTTGCTGCACAAATACTCGATTCTGGGGCAAACTTGAGTTTTGGAGATGAGTTGTGGGAAATGTTTGGCCTTTGCAGGTTGCATTTTTTGGGCTATTTTGGGCTATTTTTAAGAGTGTGTACAGTTTTTGAACAATATCTCAAACTGTCATGAATGATAACTGCAAAATGCATCACAGGGAAGTAGATGATTCTGGCACACTGAGTCGGCCTACGGCCTCCTGCCCTCTCCCTGCACCACCAGTACCTCATTCCTCAAATCCAGCTTCTCCTTTCTCACCCCCCCATTCCACCTCCTCTCCCAAGGACCCCTTTGCAAAACTAGAAGGGGGCTGAAGCCTTGCAACCTCCAATATTCCTCCCCTCAATATTTGGACTCCTCAACCTCTCCTGAAATTTTGACACCCTGATGCCAAAGCCTTCACACCACCACCATTTTCCATTTCCCCTGCCTCCTCCCCCCCCTCCTGCCATGAATGGCTTCTGCTGCCACTGGTACCCAGGTCAGCCCAGCCCTGGATATCCTGTGCCCACCCTGAGACAGAGCCCCCCTAGGTTGCTGCACCTGCCGAAAGACAGGCGGGTGCCTGCAGAAAGGCAGAAAGTGCATCTGCACAAAGGCAGGCGGGCACCTGCAGAAAGGCAGGCACGTGCCGGCAAGGAGAGCCCTGGCATGGAGGTCCTGGTGGTGTGTCTCTCATGCACTCTCTCGCCACCTGCTGCTCTCTCCTCACTCCTCACCTCCCTGCTTGCACGCACATGTGCAATCCCTGCCCCTGCCCAGGGTCTGCACGTGCTCTGGTGGGCCAACCCAGTGTTGGAGGTTTTCTTTGGTCTCCGCTTTTTTAAAATAAATCATGATCTCCCAGGGAACCCCTAGTGACCTCTCACAGAACTGTAGGGTTCTGGGGTATAGTCACTCTATACTTCTCATTTAGAATTAGAACACACAAAAGAGACAGAAAGTTTTGGATTTCTAATCTATATACTACTAAAACTCATTGTGTTTAACTGTTTGTACCCTCACGTTAGCCCAAATGGTGCATTATACTGCAACAATTTTTGAATCAAGGTACCTAAAATCCGCTAATTAAAAAATGCATAAAAAATCTGGGACCCATTACTCCTGTAGAATTGAAATTTCCACAATGTTCAGACCAGTTTTATTTGCAAAGTTGTGGCCGTTGCAGTGTCCCCGCGGTTGCATGATCGTGCTTTCTGATGGGCCCTGCCAGCTTCCCACAAGCAAAATCAATGGGGAAGCCAGCAGAAAGTCAGAAGTCACTCCCACTCCCACTGCTTTTTTGCCTACCCATGGTCATTCTGATTATCTATTTAGGAAAGAAATATTGACTTATTACTGAAGTTCGTTTGCCACTACAATTATTTTTCTATTTATGATATATA